GTTCGAACCATGGCAGTGGGTGCGTACTGCCGATTTTGATTACATTAATTAGTCATTTAATTCAGTGATCTCAACTCATCGAATAAATCTTAGTCTCATAAACTGTAACCGCTTTTGTTTCTTGAGTTGTTAAGTGAACCTACAAGCTAACACTGTTCTATTAATCAATTTTTTCTGTTTTCTGTCCTTTCACTCGCCCCCCCCTTTTTTTTCAACTTTAAAAGCGTATAAATTGATGATGAAATCTTAAACTAAAAAAATTGTAATGCTTTCATTTGGATGGGGCAATTTTATAGCATTTCTTTCTTCTCTACTACCGCTCAAACACTAGAGTATGTTACTATCATTTATATATAACCATTGTAATTTCAGGTAGTCAATAGCAGCTGATGAGAACCTGTGAAATAGAATGACGAGATCATTTTATACTACAAATTTCGTCTTCTTTTCTTTATCGAAATCAATTATAATATTTGTTGTCGTTACAACAATGGTCAGTTATGCGGCGGATATATTTTTAACGTAAGAATAACAGATTAGTATGTATAGGGTGACAATATAAATAGTCGTATTTGTGCGACAAACGTCATCCTAGACTGAATTCAATTACAAAATATTGTGAAATGGGAGATAATGGTGGAGATTAGTCATAACAGATTTGTAGAGTCTGGGATAGGAAAAACTGACAAGTCAGTTTAAGGTTATAAAAGGTGTCAGATGAGTGGCTAATACAAAGTAGTATGCATTGAGAAGGAGTTTATAAGACTATAATGAGAGGTTCATAATGTAATAACCAATGTGTGAGATGAAACAGGTGGAGGCATATATTGAGAAAATAGATAATATCACTAATAATAAGTCCGGATAGTATAAATGGAAAATTCAATAGCATTGAGAGAATGTTCGAATGAAGGGTATAAACTATAACGAATAATGATAATAACTATGATAATAAACAAAGAAAGAAAAAAAACAAAGAGGGTTAAGGGGGAGAAGCACTCTTGGTAAGAAGAAGAATCATCAATCCACGTTTGGCCACGGTAGGAACAGCGTCTGGACATTTTCATTTTCGATACAAAGTTCCAGTTTAGTTGATGTTATTGCAACAGCTTCAGCTATGCGTAGGAGACGTAAGCGAAATGTACGTGAAAACGAATTCAGAATTTGGTATACAACCCTGAAGGCTGTGTTGGCGTCGATACGACGTCCAGTATCGATCATGTGTAAAAGAATCGAGCTTTTCATACCTTTAATTTCCCCCTTACTGAAACAAGATAACTAATCGCCACCACTGTCTTCCATTTCACAATATTTCGTAACTGAATTCAGTCTATATCGAATGGTTGGAGGCAGTCGGCTACAGGAAGCCTTCGACCTGGCTTTCGTGCCAGTTGGAACTCACATATCAGCAGGGTGTATCTGCGACTTTGAAGGAACTCTTGTCGCTTCTCAGACTCGAACCCCTATCATCCATTGGGGGTTCAGTCAGAAACGTTACCAGCCACTGAGCTATTCAGGCTCGCGGTTGACCTCCTGTAGGACTGTATTGGATATTTTTTTGTGATTGGACACTAGCCAGTAAGGAGTGTAATATGTCTAGTTCTTTGTTTGGTGCAGACTGAATTCTATCAGTCAGTCGAGTGTGCAATGTGGCCACCATTCTAGGTAGCTCACCATCACAGTGCATATTGATTTTATGATATTGTATGGTTGGAGGCCTTACTGACTGGTGAGTTGCAACTAGCACGAAACCTAGGTCCAAGGCTTCCTGTGGCCAATTTCCTCCAACCATCTAATATATCATCAAATCAATGTGCACCGTGATGGCGAGCTATCTAGAATGGTGGCCACATTGCTAACCTGACTGACTGAAACAATTCAGTCTACACCAAAGATAAGACTAGATGCATAACACTAGTTACTAGTGTCCAATCAAAATACGACTATTTATTTTGACACCCTATACATACTAATCTGTTATTCTACGTAAAAATGTATCCGCCGCATAACTGGCCATTGCTGTAACGACGACATAAATATAATATTTTATAATTGTAAGAACGCGAAGAGAAATTATTGCAAAGCAAATTGTGATAGAGTTTATTATTATGAAATTTTTTCGCATTGATAGAGTTTTTATTATGAAAATTACTTATGTATGTATATTAATTCACAAAAGCAGTCATTTATTAGTAATCTGTGATGTAATAATCCTGGATTAGCGAAATTTGAGGTAATAAGAAAATCAAAACGATTGACACGTGTGTGTAATTTCACGTAGAATATGAGTAAATTCGATCAATAAAACAAAAGCTGCATGTTATATGATTGAATCGCTTAATGAATAACTATATGTGTCAAGCAGAGAATTGTTAATTTTGTTTATAATCCAATTTACTTTAACAATTATATTATTTACTGGTTTAGTGAGGTTTGGTAGTGCATCTGCCGAGGGTCGAACCCCACACCACTGACGCACTTCTTCACATAATGATACACACCCGTTGACTGGCCAGTGGTTTTCAGGAGAATCAAAAACACCTATCCCTACCTCTTGTGAGACGAGACCAACACATTCAGTATTATCCCGTGGTGCAACCACTTGAGAGGCGTCTCTCCCTCAATGTGTAACCGGCATGTTTCATTCTAAATGTTGATGTATGCTTTTGTCTGTATCAACGAATCTGCTTTCTTTTCTTCTAGTAGTAGAATTATCAACTAATGAGAAATGCGATTAATTATACATGATTACACGCAGTCTATTGTGGCATTGAATCTCGTAGTCTGCTTAAATCACTGGGATGCATTTTATTTTATTTATTTATTTTGTTTGATTATAGCTTGATTTCACACCGTATATTTGGTACAGGTATAGAATTTTCAATATGTGATATCGGTAGCTCAAATTTTGCAGGCCGACCATAGATATCAGGTGTGCGTCGGCAGGGGATCGAACCCCGGACCATGTGTATAGTCATTAAGAGTCCTAACCAGTGTGCCACCTACGCATGCATTATATTTACCGCATTTTATATTTAGTTTTAACCATCTAACTAAGTTCATGAATCATAAACCACCACCAATCTCCCATGTGAATCCTCAAAAAGATTTCATTCCACTGCCACGATGTCTTTTTTAAAGGAAATGGGAGAAAAACTTTTCGGAGTAATGAAGCATGCTTTAAAATAGGACAATATTACTTCAATTTATGAATTATCGACTAATATATCACTTGAAGATCTTGCAATAAAACAAGCTGAAAATTCTTTACTAGGTTTAAAACGAACTTTTCAAAATAATGCTGTTACTATTATTATTACTGGAATTTTCATTACTTTCGACTAATGAACGCCAGACTTTGAGTATTAGTACGAGTATTAGTAGTATTGATCATAATAAGATAACAGTCGATGAGTCATCATCAAAGTCCCTATAGAGTTGAATCAATCTTCAGTTATTTTTGGTTTTTTTTATCTCGTAATGGCGAAATAGTTTTCTGCAAAGCTTAAATCATATGAAACCATGGAAACCATGTGCGTCGGTAGTTCAGCGGTAGAATACTCGCCAACCACTCACGTCGTTCGGGGTTCAATTCCCAACCGACGACGCACTACTTTACCTTATCACTAAGCCATTAATAAGACTGGTAAATAGGGAAGATTGGGCAAGAGGACATGAGCTACCCCATCCCGTGAAAATAAACACCACTGCTACCGAAATCTCAAGCCTTTAGCTTGAAGCCACTCTATGTTCCACTGGAAACTTAAACGAATAAAATGATGATCTAAAAGATTGACACCGACAATTATACATCTCATACAACAGTTATACGTTAATGCTGCATGCCAAGTTATCCACAACGGGAAACTTACGGAAGCCTTCGAAGTAAGGACGGGAGTGAGGCAAGGCTGCCTATTATCGCCAATGATTTTCCTGATTGCAGTAGGTTGGATAATGCGACAGACAACAGGCAGCGAGGAAACAGGCATAGAATGGACCCACACAAAAAACTTGGAGGATCTGGATTCCGCCGATGATGATGTATGTCTGATTTCCCATAAATTGGAAGATATCCAAGTGAAAAACAAAAAGTTGGCAGAAGAAGCATCAAAGATAGCAAGGACTTCAGGTAAACATAGAGAAAACAGAGGTGGTGAAGATTCCTGGCCAACAGCAACAGCAACAACAACAGACAACAATCAGTTAGCATAAATAGGAGGAACCTGAAAGAAAAAACCTCTTTTACCTACCCACCTATCTGGGAAGCATCGTTTCAACTACAGGCGAACGGAACTGACGAGGATATCAAAGCAGCGAGGATCGGAAAAGCAAGACAAGCTTTCATTACTCTTTAGACTGTGTGGAGGTCAACGGCACTCAGTATCAATAATAAGATCCGGATTTTCAACTCCAATGTGAAGTCATTCAGTGCTACTATATGGATCAGAGACTTGGCACGTCATAAAGAGCATCTCAAACAAACTACACACCTTCATTAAACAGCTAGCTGACTTCGCTCAATACTCAAGATCAGATGGTCAGAAATGATCAGCAACAGGCAGGGATCTCTGGCAATGAACGAACCAACCCAGCAGGAACCGATTGTGAAACAAATATGCAGGGAGAAATGGAGGTAGATTGGCCATACTCTGAGAAAACAACACCACCAAGTGACATCACTAGACAAGCCATTGGTCGAATGGAACCCGAAAGGGAAGCGGCGAGTTGGTCGTCAGTGCAAGGGTGACTTGGAGGAGGTCATGTGAAGAGGAGATGAAAGCATGTGGGCAGACTTGGAGCCAGGTGAAAACATTGACAGAGAACCGAACGCAATGGAGACGCGCGGCTGAAGCCCTATGTTCCTCTAGGAATTAAAGGAAATAATGATAACAATAAAAGATTTTTGTATTAAAAATACACTATGACCGAAACTAACTAATATAGCATGTTATTTATGTAAGGTGGTAAGGTAGATGACAATGAAATAATAAACAACTCACATCATATGTAGGCAAATGATTCATCTCGCCTTCATTCGATGTTTCACAATGTACACTTATAATATCGCCTACTTTTTCTAACTTATTCTTCGATTTCACTTGATTATGATGATGATTCGGTGTAGGAACATCTTTATCACCGTCTTCACCAGCACATTCGACAGCTATTACTGTTGGAGTTTTCCTATGATTATATGAACCATAATTATTATGGTGATGATGATGATTATGATGGTCATGAATATGCTCCATATCAACACCATTTTGATTGTTAGATTTTGATTGTTTACCCTATATATAAAAGGAAGCCAAAAAAAAGTAAATAAACTGAAGTTTATCGAGGTATTATTAATTTGAACACAAAAAACTGTTATGACAATGTTTATTGAATAATATAAAGAAAAGCATTTACAGGATTTTCATTATGAGCTGACATTGGTTTGAGAACCATTGGAAAACCAACAGGGAGTAGTGGACAGCTGTTCCCTCCATCCTAGTTTGAGACTCTTCAGCAGTACGACATCTGATTAGTCAACAAAATTTTCCCAACTTTTGATTTTTAAATTTAAATTTTAACAAACGCTTGACTGATATTGTAAGAAGGTGAGGAGTAAATGCAGAAAGAGCCTACATAAATATCTACTACCTTATAAACTGTAATTCTACAATTTAAATTAATTTCTGATTACGCCTTCTTAAACTCTTAATCGATATAATGTAATACATAAACAGATGAATGGTTCTACCTATGAGATTTATCCACCCTTAAAAAAAGAGGTTTACATTACTCTTCCTATGGAAGGTAAGGTATCACTATTTATCATCGGTTTAATAGATCTGACGATGAAGTGAATCAATAAAACCACGACATTATCCAATATGATCTACTGCAATGCCATTCAATTGTCCTTCTTCATATATAACTTTGCAAAGACTAGTGGAATTTACAGGATTTCATCATCAGCTGACATTAGTTAGAGAACCATTGGTAAACCTGGGAGTACTGGACAACTGTTTCGTCCTAGTTTGGGACTCTTCAGCAGTACGCACCCACCGCTATGGTTCGAACCCAGAACCTTCTGATTAGGCCAGCCCGTATACCATTAAGCCACTGGGACCCGATCCAATGGCCAATCGATGAATTCTAATTTCTGCCAATTCACGACATAGCGCGATCCCTAGCCAATGTCTTCGGCGAGTATTTGTCCTCACACCTGACCAGCTGCACCTTACTGGTCACGACTTCTCACAAGAACCCCAGGTAACTACCTACTTGAATAGTACAAGTCGCTAGTGAGCATCTTATTGATATTCAAGTGTTGGCTTGTAGGGATTTGATTGGTTTACAGGATTTCATCATCAGCTGACATTAGTTAGAGAACCATTGGAAAACCTGGGAGTCGCGCTATGTCGTGAATTGGCAGAAGTTAGAATTCATGGACTGGCCATTGGATCGGGTCCCAGTGGCTTAGTGGTATACAAGCTCGCCTTGTAACCAGAAGGTCCTGGGTTCGAACCATAGCGGTGGGTGCGTACTGCTGAAGAGTCACAAACTAGGACGAAACAGCTGCCAAGTACTCTCAGGTTTTCTAATGGTTCTCTAACTAATGTCAGCTGATGATGAAATCCTGTAAACCAATCAAATCCCTACAAGCCAACACTTGAATACTAGTGGAATTCTAATGTTGTAGCTCACAACCAGGTCGACAGTTTCTAATGTACTCCTCTGAATTTCATAGATAATGGTGTACTTACAGTGTTACCTCTGAATCATGTCATCTTATCATCAAGATGAGAAAAAACAGAAAAAGGTAAAATGTCTTGTATAATATCTGATTGACCTTGAGAAACACAGAGTTTAAAGTGAAGAATAGCTTTCAGGCTCTACACGTTTACATTTATTTGATCGTGATTTCTTTTAGGGTTCACATTTTGTAGAAAAGCCTTATTGATTATACGGATGATTCATGTGTCAACAATAGCTGTTTGATGAATTTTTGAGTTTTATGTTTCTATTTATTTTTATACATTTGAAGCAGAACACGGTAATACAATATTCTCCACTATAGAAAACATTTCGTTAAGCACAGTTTCCTAGACATAGGTATACACACCAAAGTGATATCATCTCAGCTCTTCTTTTTAACATAGAATACAACGTGTTAACGTTAAGAAAAACAATTCGTAGACAAGGTGGAGTTATTCACGATGCTTTGTACGCAGACACATTGCCTAGGCTTCAAAATATTGCCTCCCTTTATAAACACCATAATGGCGAGCCACCTAGAATGGTGGCCACATTGCACACTCGACTGACTGATAGAATTCAGTCTGCACCAAACAAAGAACTAGACATATTACACTCCTTACTGGCTAGTGTCCAATCACAAAAAAATATCCAATACAGTCCTACAGGAGGTCAACCGCGAGCCTGAATAGCTCAGTGGCTGGTAACGTTTCTGACTGCACCCCCAATGGGTGATAGGGGTTCGAGTCTGAGAAGCGACAAGAGTTCCTTCAAAGTCGCAGATGAACCCTGCTGACATGTGAGTTCCAACTGGCACGAAACCCAGGTCGAAGGCTTCCTGTGGCCAACCGCCTCCAACTATTATTGTTAAATTCATGATATTTTTGTAAATGTGTTGACGGTGAATCTTTTGACAAAATTCTAGCCCATCTGTGAAATACACGCATGTCATAATTGTTGGTTTTGCATTGATAATTTTTGGTTATTTGTCCTCATCGCTCTCTAAGCGGTGTTAACTTAAGTTGTTTGTGTACACACTTTATTTACAAAACTTTAGAGATTCCTATTTGAATATGTAGGCACAATACAGTCTGTTGTTCTGTCTATCTGCCACTAGCCAATATCATAAGCGAATAGTTTTTGTCTTACCTGACTTGGTTAACCCCCCCCCACCCTCGTCACCTAGTCAAGACCTCTCATTAGAAATTCAGGTAACTTTCTGTATAGAATCAGTCTCTAGCGAGCATTAGACTAATGTTCAGGTGTGTAGGTTTGCAAGGATTTGATTGGTGGTTACATGTTGCCAATTAGCAGAAGTAGGAATCCACTGGCCGATGGACCAGGTCCCAGTGGCTGGATAGAATACAATCTCAACTTATGATATGAAGGCTTTTTGCTCGAACCTCATCGAGTGCGTACTGATAGTGAACCCCAAGCACCTTTTAGTACGCCCTGTTGGTTTTCCAATGGTTCTCTAACTAACGTCATCTCTTGACTTAATGTATAACCAACCACATCCCTGCAAACCAACCCTTGAAAAGTATCCATTGCACCTTGACACCTTGATTGGCCTAATCGATCACGACTTCTCTGTACACAGCTTCAGGATTCGCATTCAGTATAGTCGACAATAAAAATGGCGATTTATATTTCGATTATGGGTTTTACTGTAGGGAATCGACCTCTTCACGAATTGATATCCTTTAGAGAATCTTCAGAAACTAAATAGTGCAATAGACAACTGTTTCCATTAATGCCTGGATAGGAATTATCCATGAAATGTTTTTTATCCACTAATTTTATGGATATGATAAAAACTATAGACTTATAACTGAACCTTAGGAAAGAGTCTTTGAAGGTAACTGTTCACCCAGACATTTCTCCTTTAATTTACCTATGAAATAAGGTTGTCAAAATAGCAATGAATTGATCCTGAAATGGCTCAAAGTTGTACAATATTTACTTGAAATCATTTGGTCAGGCTACTCAGTATACAAACAACCTTTTAAGTTCGTTTGTTTCTGTGAAGGATCCATTTAGCTCGTTAGTAATACGCCTATTCGTATTATTAGATCGTTGGAGGTAATCAGCAGGCAGCCTTAGAGCTATATTTCGTGCTAGTTGTCACTCACCAGTCACAGCAAGGCGTATCTGCAACTGCCTTGAAGGAACTCATATCACTTCTGAGATTCGAACGCACAAATGTTGTTAGCTGTAGGTAGCATCCCAGTTCTAGTGCTCAAGAGAGAAGAGAATCGAACACTTACCCTCATGACTGAGGGCACACAGTAGAGAATATTACAACTTGGAAAGCAGTAAATACTTACAAGAGCGAAATAACGGAGAAGATTTGTAGCTCAGATGATCTGCCAGGATTCAAATAAGTTCACTTTATACTAAAATCTACGCTGAAGGGGGATGTTGTCTAGACGGACGATAAAAGCTTCACAATTAAATCAACCAGCAGCTCAGAGAAGATAATTAATGTGAAACAGTATAATTATTTGTGAAAATTAATCAGCTTAAACGTACCTGGAAACAACTTGGAAGAAGACGGAGCATATATTCCAAAATGTAGAAAAATAAAACACCAGCGCATACAGATATCGCTTTAGGCAAATACCAGTTGGTACCCAAAGCATGATTTTCATTCGCATTGCCAACAAGTTCCAATGCCTAACAACAACGAAAAACAGTATAAATTTATTGAGGAGTCCTCCGTGAACATGAAAACAGATAAGGTTATAAATTCATCCAGTACGAAAAAAAAGTTTTCTGCATAAACCCATTAGGATATTAGAAAGAAGCGAACACAAAGTTCAGCAAACAGATATCTTTTTTAGGCCATTTCATTTTCAAAAGCTGTACAATCACATTTAAATAAACAAATTTATTATTATTATTATTGTTCCCTAAGGTTCCTAATGGAACATAGGGCTTCAACTGCACGTCTCCACTTGCCACTTCTGTCTTCCTTCTGCTGTACTTTTCACCTCTCGCCTTCCCGATTGTCGCTCGATTTGACATCCTCGTCCATTCCGACTGCCTGTAGTTGGAACAATGCTCAATGCTAAATGAGTGAATGAAGTAACCTCTTTCAAATCACTCCCGTTGATGGTGATTGGCGCTGGATGTTGCAGCTGTTGTTGTTGTTGTTAATGGTTGGTTATTTTCATCACCTCCATCTTGTCTATGTTCACTTGGAGTCCTGTCTTCGCCGGCTGCTTCTTCGACCAGCTTGTCGGTCGGTTTTCGCTTGTAAGTCTTCTCTATTTTGTGTGACATCAAACATAAATCATCCACGCGCGAAATCCAGGTCTTCTAGGTTCTTCACGTCGGTCCAGAATATCCCTGTCTTCTCGTTTCCAACTCACAGTCTGACGCATAATCCAGTCCACCACAATTAAGAGTATCATCGTTGGTGATAATAAGCGCCCTTGTCTGACTCCTGTGTTTACTCCAAACGCCTTGCTGAGTTTTCCGTTGTGAATCACTTGACATGTGCCGTTGTCGTACAGCTGTTGAATAAGGTTGATGAATATTTAGGATACGCCATAGTACTCAAGTAATTTCCAAATTACTTCACGGTCAAAGCTGTCTGGTGGAGACCTTCTCAAAGTCTATAAAGTCGAGGTAGATGTTTGATTCCCATTCCATGGTTTGTTCGATGATGATGCGTAGAGTTGCGATTTGGTCGGAACATGATTTGCCTTTCCTGAATCCAGCTTGTTCTGGTCAGAGTTCTGTCTCCAGTCCGTCCTTTATTCTCTCCAGGATGATGCGACTCAGAATTTTACTCGGCGTCGATAGCAGCATGATTCCTCGCCAGTTCTTGCAGAGTCCTAAGTCGCCCTTCTTTGGTAGTTTCACGAGGTAACCTTTCCTATAGTAAGTAGGCACAAATTTACACAGATAAAATTATTATTATTATTTAATTCTACATAATTACGAAGGCGAAAAAAAGGTGGCGACTATTTTCATTTTAATATGAGTTACAAGAGGCTGGAGATCTGGGAATCTCCAGCACTTTAAAGAAGACCTTCTCAACAGCAACACTTAGAGTGACATTCTCTAGCCGTCCAATACTTCTAAACAATGCAACGCATAAACTCCCGCATATGACCAATTCAATGTGCATATGCCAGTTCACTTACTCATCGAACTAGGTATATAGTTTGTTGTATGCGCCTCCTTTCAAAATGTGTTAGAGAAAATTACCCAGCATGGCATCGGTTCAATCAGAAGTACCATAATTGATCATCTGATCAACACCTCCCACAGCTTTTTAACTGATTCATTCAAAATTATATACACAGTAAACAGAAACCTACCAAAGACAATATATTTCCGACTTCTTTGTACTGCAGAAGCCCTCACAATATGAGTCGAAAAGCCGCAGCTGTGTGTTCAAAAGAAACTAGTCCAACCTTTACCAGTACCATGGACCTAGTTCGGTATGTTTCCTTAGCCTTCGTTTTTTTGTTCTGTTCGCTGTGTGTGCGTGTGCATTATTCTCTCTTTGTCTTCATTAAGTGCATCCCATTTCTTTTTTTCAGTTATGAGGACAGTTATTTTAAGTTTGTTTCCATGTTTTTTCTGCTCACATTTGTAATTCGTTTAAAATAATAACTATTTTACAATTATATCTTAATCCTGTGTAATTTTGTTTCTAAGCCTCTCGTAATCCATATCAAAATGAAATCGGCGACTGGCCCTATTCAGGTAAGTAGTTACCTGGGGTTCAAGTGGGAAGTCGTGACCAGTAGGGTACAGCAGGTCGGGTGCGAGGACAAATACTCGCCGAGGACATTGGCTAGCGGTTGCGCTATATCGTGAATTGGCGGAAGTTAGAATCCATGGACTGGCTATTGGATCGGGTCCCAGTGGTTTAATGGTATACGAGTTCGCTAGGCTTGTAACCAGAAGGTCCTGGGTTCGAACCCTGTTGGGTGGGTACTGCTGAAACAGCTGTCCAGTACTCCCAGGTTTTCCAATGGTTCTCTAACCAATGTCAGCTCATGATGAAATCATGTAACCAATCAACCAAATCCCTACAAACCAACACTTGAAAATATATCTATTTGCTGAACTTCGTGTTCTTTTCTCGCTAACTGATTACTGCACTGAAGTTATAACTGTCATCAATGCACACGAAAAAGCAAAAAGGTTAACAGGAGACCGACAAAACTGGTTGTCTACTTCACAAACAAAACTATTGTCCAATAGGTGGATATGTCAATTATTGGTAAGATAGTCCAGGTTTTAACCACTGGGCGGTTAGTTCGAATCTTGATCCCCACCTACTTCAGCCTGTGTAAATAGGTAGTATGATCAGCTCTCTCTCTCTCTCTCACACACACACACACACAATAAGTGCGGCTTAGATTGACATGGGAAAAATGTGTTCCGTGTCACTGAGATAAAACAACATTGTCTAAAATGCAATTTAATTAGAATGCTATGGATGTGTGTAGCCCCGCGTTACCGCAAAAACTATCAGTTTGGAGCTTAATATAAATTATGGAAAAATAAAAGTTCTCTGAAGATAAAATGGGAAGAGTAATAAGGCAGCTGAAGGAAAACGACTTATTCATGTTTTCACAAATAAAAATTAAATCGAGTTAACGATATAACAAGTTAATCCAATCATCCTTACATCGTTACTTGGTTGTTTTTCAATATTAAAAAGCTGAGTAATCGACTAGAAACCACCACTAAAATAAGAGTTATAACGTCTAATGAAAAAAGAAAAACACGTAAGAGTAGTAGAGTAGTCAACGAGGCTTAAAAATGAAAGGTAATCAAAAAAAGAAGAAGGCATTGGCTCTACTACCAGTAAATATCATACTGCATACACCTGACTGTAAAGTCAGATCCATAGAAACATGATAAAATGATTATGTGATGCGTCGATTTTTTGTAACCTAATTTAAGATTATTTAATTGGTGGATGGTGACTAGCAGTGGAATCCAGCCAGGATGCGCATTTCGTCCTATTTGAGACTCGTCATCTGGATGTATCTGCATTTCTCAGTGAGTGATGATCCCACCGAGGCTCGAAAACAGTGCCCGTAGTCCCAAACGCCAAAGCGTTATCCACTAGACCACTTGGGCTACGAGAACCACCTATTGTGCTTTGGAGTTTGAAACTATGGGCACTGGGTTCGAGCCTCCGTGGGAACATCATCACTCACTGAGATATGCAGGTACATCTAGCTGACGAGTCCCAAATAGGACGAAATGTGCATCCTGGATTCCACTCCCAGTCGCCATCTACCAATTAAATACTAACTAAATGCCCCGACGTCGTCGAAGCATCTGCACAAGAAGCCAACAGACATGTCAACCTGACACCGAGCACCTCGGTGTAATCAATCGATGAGAAAATCTCAAATTCAATTAAATGAATTTGAGATTAGTTTAACAATAGTAATAGTTTTACTCTGCACAAATAGTTTAGACAATATATATAATTTTTCGCTTAGTTTATGGCATAATAATTCCTCCTCATCCAGGATTTTTAAGTAAAGTAGTAATCAACAGTACAGCACGTGATGCGTTGCTGTTGTATCTGACGCATCAAATAATTCATTTATTTATTTAATTATTTTTTAATTTTATTCCTTAATGTTCCCAGTGGAACATAGGGCGCTTTCAAGCTAGAGTTTTGGAGTTTCGGTAGCAGTGGCATTTATTTTTATGGGATGAGGCTGCTAGCCTCATGCCCAACTTTCCCTCTTTACCAGTCTTATTACTGGCTTAGCGAGGTAAAGGAGTGCCTCGTCGGCCAAGGATCGAAACTCGGACCATATATGTGACTGCCAAGCATTCCACCGCTGTGCCACCAACGGTCATCAGGTAATTCATTACAGTATTTTTTTTCTTTCCACGCCGAGAAATGTACGACAGTAGGTTGAAATCCAATTAAAAATGTGCATGAGTACATTTGGCAACCGACATACACACAACTGAATGGTTAAAACAGACAGAACAAGGGAAAATTTTATACGTTCTATTGGATGAAAATTCAAACAGCCTAGTAACTCAAGCAGGCTGTCAGATTATTGGTGAAAACCTACCGACTAATGAATTTCACTGTATCGGATGTGCGGACAGCTATTTACCAATCGGACTGGATAGTGGTAACAAAATACCACAATATAGTAAGATCAGAAGAAATCTTGAATAACAAGACTCCGATACGGTAGTTTCACGGTAATTTGTTTCTCACAAGACTTAAAAGTCCTGAGTTTTAAGTTCTCACTACTGAAAAGACTTAGGTCGGAGAGAAACAGCTGCCTACTGTTTTTTTTTAAATTTCAAATGATGTCAGTTTGTTGTTGAAGCACTCTAAATTTAACAACTATGTAATTATACCAACTTTTTGATTATAACTTCCAACAAAACTCTTCCCTAAAGTAAAAGACAGTAATAAAAGTTACTATTACGCCCTAGCCTCCTAACCTGAAGATCTTGGATTCGATATGTACTGAGGTTGTGGCTGAACATTGTTGACGAGTTTAAAGCCAGGACAAAACAGCTGTCCAATGTTCTCCCCTGTATTCAATCGTCCTCTAAAAATAACGTCAACCTGGGATGAAATGTAACCATTAAAATTCAATGGATCTAAGTGTATTTTGTCTAACTATGGAATGTATTCCACTGAATCCAAATTTATTGGTTTACCTATGTATGATACAATAATACCTAACGACGTATTCCTCAAAGTTACAAAGACTTATTAAAATAATGCCACTTAATATTGTTCAGTTTAAGATTTTTTGTTTCTTAAATCCAGCCTATGATAATGATGAAAAGGAGATTCAAAGGCTAATCTAGAAACTATTGAGATGCACAAGTTACAACACAAACATCATGGTTTCATTGTGACGAGTGCTATTCATAAGATTTATCAGTAGTATTTATATATTTAGAGAGAGAGACTTTCACAGGCATAAAAACAACAAATAGAGCAGGGAGATAAATTTGATTACAGAGAAGGCGAATGATACAGCGTGAACACAAAGAAACACACAACATAAAGTTCAGAAGTACCACAATACGAAGATTTGTGTAAATGGTGCGTTGAAGATAAGGTAGACATAATTTGGCTATATGAAGTAGATATATATATGCTTGATTAGATATCTTTCTTTCTTAATCCGAGCGATGCTGGGGACATCACTCGTACCCAATTCCCATGAAACTTCATGGTTCATGAAGCCGGCTCATCCTCCCGTAGGAGATAGCCGAAGTAAAGTAAAGTTTCTTTCTTAATGCCAACTACTGTTTACCGCTGGTCTCTTAAGGTATTTATGAAAAATCATTCGGTGAATACCTTGCACTAAATGTCTTTATCAACCAGTTAACTTCGTAAGTGTTACCGCAATATTATTATTATTATTGTTCCTTTGGGTTTCGAGCGGAACATAGGGCTTCATCAACACATCTCCACTGAGTTATATTTTCAGCTGTCCTCTTCAGCCAGATAGCTCCACGATTGGTCATAATCTCTCATCTCCACATCCAACACACACGATCCCCTACATGTCACCCTCGCTATCACGACTCAATCGTCGCTTCTCATTGAGATTCCACTCGAACGATGGCCTGGCTAATGTGCGTCCTCAACGTATACCCAATCCATCTCCACTTTCTTCTACATATTTGTTGAGCAATCGACTCTTACCTGTTGGTTTGCTCCACTGCAGAGTTTCTTGTTGCTGATTCTTTCTGGCGATTTGATCTTCAGTATGCAAAGAAGGCAGCTGCTGATAAAAGCCTGTAACTTGTTGTAAATCCTTTTCGTGACACGCAGTGCAAGTTTCTAACCCGTATAGAAGAAACGACTGACTTGACATTTGTGTTAAACAGAATCCCAATCTTGTTCTTTATGCTGGCTGGTTGAGTGCACAAGATTTCCGAACTAGTTTCAGGTTGACGAAGGCATATCTTGCCTTTCCGATCCTGCCTGGGTTTGACGCCTTCATCCGTTCCAGCTGCCCGTGGTTGACACGATGCCTCCTAGATAAGTGAGGGAAGTAACCTCACACAGAAATAATGTATGCTTAATGTTTACACCTAATTGTTGTATGTGTGTGATCAGGAAACTAACAAGCAATACTATGGATCTGCATAGTCGGTGATGGTGCAGTGGTAGAATGCTGTCGCCAACTATGCACGTGGTATGGGTTTCGATACCCGGCTGACGTACACCTCTATACGTCGTTTAACCGGTAGTAGGCCGGGTAAAAAGAGTAGGTTAGACGTGAGACTAGCAACCTCAATCCGTAAGAAGAAGAGGTAACCACCACTGTTCCTGAAATTTTAAAACTCTAGTCTGAAGATCTGTATACCACGCGGAATGCAAGGGAATAAAATAAAAATATAAATGATAAATAATAATGATAAGAAGAACTAACTTTGAGTGACATCAATTTTCTTGAAGTAAACGTTACTCTTCTGCAATTTCGCAGAGAATTACTATTCTGGCTAAGCTTTACAACTAATGACATAAGATATAAACTACATATAAGTAAATAAATAACAAGACATACAGACAGGCAGTGCATAAACTGATATCACTGTAAAACACTCAGTTGTCAACCTTTACACCAACATACAAATGAGCACAATCACCAAGACTACGTTTGAAGGCAGCATGAAAATAATGACATCAGAATTTGTGAAAATAAAAAAGTGTATCTACCAATTTAACTGCGCTTGTGGGGCGAGTTATATTGGCCGTTGCTCTAGGAACTTGATTTTTCGTGTTCGCTCGAGAACATAACCTACTATGGCGAAGTAAAGGTGTAGTTAAAACTGTCAACAGTTCGATATTAGACCATCTGGTACAAACCGGCCACAAAGCCAGCCAGCGTTGCGGAATCCTTTTCTATCATTTACCGGGTGCCTAATAAATTGCCAAAATCATCGAAGCACCGCATGCTCCAAAAAGCAGAAGCTATTGCAATTCGCCTCAAGCAAGTCCAGCCCCTACTACTGCCCTGGCCGGCCTTCAGTAGAGACTACAAATTCATGAATTTGTAATATTATCTTTCCTAAATGGAGATGGATTGGCCATACGCTGAGAAAACAAAACCATCAAGTGAGTGACATCACACGCCAAGCCATTGCTCGTGTGGAACCCGAAAGAGAAGCGGCGAGTTGGTCATCAATGCAAGAGTGACTTGGAGGAGGTCATGTGAAGAGGAAATGAAAGCATATGGGCCGACTTGGAGCGGGGTGAAAAGGTTGGCAGAAAACCGAAGGCAATAGAGACGCGCAGCTGAAGCCCTATGTTCCTGTAGGAATTAAAGGATATAATAATAATAATAAATAATAATATAATTTTTCTGACATTCAGCTTATTTTATGTGGATGCCATTGAGCTGTAATCCACCGATATTATTATTGATTCGATGTTATTTAAACAGCAACATTAATGCTGTTAATAAGACTAATTCATTCATTCACTATAATGTGTATATATAACTGTAGAGCCTGATGATGAAGCGGTTATCGAAGAGAGTACTCTTTGTTCAGTATCCATTCTTTTGAAAAAAATGAGAAAAAAAATCAAAAGAATCAAACAATTCATCACATAGAACATAGCTTAAACTTCAGAGTAAACCAATTTTCACGCCGCCCGCCCCCCCCCCCCCGAATATCCTAATGACAGTGCAATAGAGCAACAGCAAAAAACAACCCAGGAGAATCAGTTCAACCAGAATTTCACCAGATTGAACATATGATTACTTTTATAATGTGTTTAATTTCAAATTTCTTACTAGATCATGTGATGACTAATAGTGGCGTCATTTTTTTAAGCATTACTATTCACTTAAATGTAAGTAAATCCAGAATAGAGGTCGTGTACAGCACAGTGGAATAGAAATTCTTTATTCCAATGCTAATCATCACAAAACAAAAGGCGGTTTCAGAATTACTTATATAAATAATGATGTATATATGTATGTATCTCACTTACCTCAGGTACAAGTACAATTATGGAAGTTGACAATAAAGAGCCGACAGCAGTAGCAACCATAAATGAAAGTAGTGTAGGAAAAAAACGATATTTTTTGAGAAGGGTAAATATGACTCCAAGTAAGGCGCTTAAATTGACTAGTGTTACACAAAGAAATCCAAATCCCAAACCTAAATGTAGAAAAAGTAAATAATAATATTAATTTTTAGTATAAATTAAAAACTTTGGCATACAAAATATTCATGCACTCATTATTATTATTATTATACTCATTTGAGTTCCCAGTGGAACATAAGGTTTCAACAATACACCTCCACTTCGTCCTATTTTCCGCTGTCCTCTTCAACTGGCTAGCTCGACGACTGACTATAATCTCTCGTCCTTTCCTATCACAATCTGTTCCATATCACCTAAAAACGGCCAACCCGTCGTTTCCAATTTGGATTGTACTCGAGCGAAGGCCTGCATCGCGCGCGATGTCATTCGACAGTCTCCTCAACTTTTGCCCGAACCATCTCCATTTACTCCTACATATTTGTTGAGCGAACGGTTCTTGGTTGGTTTGTTCCCAGAGTTTTTGTTGTTGATTCTTTTTGGCCTGCAGGCCATTCGATCTTCCATATAGAGCGAAGGGAGCTGTTGATAAAAGTCCTTAACCTGTTGAAAATGCTTTTTGTGACTCGTTTCGTGGTGGCCAGGTTTCTGACCAATATGGAAGAACTGACCTAACATTGGTGTTCAAAATCCGAATCTTGTTGTTCATGCTGCTGAGTGCAGAAGATTTCCGAACCTATTTCAGATTAATGAAGGTGTGTACATGGCCTTTCCGATTATGGCTGATTTTGACATCTTCATCCGTTCCGGCTGTCTGTGGCTGAAACCGTGCTTCCTGACCAGATAAGTGAAGGAAGTAACCTCCGTCGAATCTCTCGCATTGATGGTGATTGGTGCTGGTTGTTGTCGCTGTCAACTGGTTGTTTTCATCACCTCCGTCTTTCATATATTTACCTGGAGTCCTGTCTTCACTGCCTGCTTCTCTGGCCAGTTTGTTGGTTCTTGCCTGCAAGTCTTCAAATCTGTGTGACATTAAAAATAAATTATGCACGAAATCCAGATCTTCTAGAGTCTTCTTGTCGAAATACACTCATTAGATATTCACTACTTCGTTTTTTTAGTATGCCAGGAAGATACAGTGTCAAAATATGAGAGAGAATTTCATACAAGTTTTCGATTTTATAAATTTAATCAGAGAAAGTACAAACATTGGTGCAGTTGCTGACCGTAGGTGTATTAGATTTCTTGGGTTCATTCGTTCCATATTTATTGATGAAGCTCTGTAGGTAAACATTTTCTACCAAGCATTTCTCAAGCAACATCAGTTCACTGTCTAATTTGTCAGTTGAACATCTTCTCTGGAAGAAAAGTGTTTTCACGGTCGTCTGTTTGTTACCGAATGGGTAGAAGTCATTGAAGTTTAAGTAGTAACTGCTCCATGTGTCCTTACGATACATCAATCTCTCGAGTTTCCTGTCAGTTTGCCTCTACAAGCTGATATCCAGGAGGTGGAAATTTTACAGCATCTTTGTGCTCCATCTTGAAAGTGATGCTCTTGTGCACATTTTTTGAATAATCCCAATAGAGATGAGGTGTGACTCAAATTATTGCCTACCAATGAATGTGCCATCGATGTATCTATAGTAGGCTGTTGTTTCATTAGTTGTACACTTGAGCTTTATTTATTCTAGACTGACCATAAAAAATATCTGCTAATACAGGAACCAATGGACTCTCGCCCTTGCCACTCCATCAATCTGGTGATACACTGGAATTGTTTATCCTTGGTAAATAATATAAGTAGCTGCTTAAATCCCAGCTTTTGGCAGATGAAACAGGTCAGCGTGTTGACAGATGATATCTAACGTCTCATGCAGTGAGGCCTGTGTGAATAAAGAAGTCACGTAGAAGGAGGCCGTGAGTTTATCACACACATTAAGTTGACTCACTTCTTCAACGAAATGGAACGAATCTTTCAGAGTATGTTTAGCCAGTCGCTGTTTAACAGGTTCCAACTTATCGGCTAACCAGTGAACAACTTTGTAGAATTCAACAGTGAATTCACCACTGGGCAATTCTTTTTATGTATGTAGACCACACATATGTGATGGACGACACCCCTTGAGTTTTAATTCACTGTATGCGTGATTCTCAAATCATTTACTTTTTCAACAACCCTCTTAATGCTTTTGTGACTTTCTTTTCCTGTCGAATCCGTCATATCCTCCTTATGGTTATCAATCTTGGATATTGATGTGTCATTGAGCATGCACTCCACTTTTTGGATGCAGTCAGCCTTGTTCAACAACGTCTGAGCCTTCATCTAGTCACAGTATGACGATTTCTTGATTACTCAGCAAACGTTTAATTCAAGTGTTGGTTTGCAAGGATTTAATTGGTTACAGGATTTCATCATGAGCTGACATTAGTTAGATAACCATTGGAATATCTGGAAGTACTGGACAGCTGTTTCGCTCTAGTTTAGGACTCTTCGTCAGTACGCACCCACCGGGATTCAAACCCAGGACCTTCTCTAACTAATGCCAGCTCATGATGAAATCCTGTAAACCAATCAAATCCCTACAAACCAACACTTGAATATCAATGAGATGCTCACTAGCGACTTGCCCTATTCAGGTAGGTTCTAGTGAGAAGTCGTGACCAGTAGAGTGTAGCCAGTCGGATGTGAGGACAAATACTATCCGCCGAAGACATTGGCTAGGAGTCGCGCTATATCGTGAATTGGCAGAAGTTAGATTTCATGTGTCACTGGATCGGTTCCCAGTGGTTTAATGGTATACGAGTTCGCTAGGCTTGTAACCAGAAGGTCCTGGGTTCGAATCCAGGTGAGTGCATACTGATGAAGAATCCCAAACTGGGACGAAACAGCTGTCCAGTAGTCCCAGTTTTACCAATGGTTATCTAACTAATGTCAGCTCATGATGAAATCCTGTAAACGTTTAATTGTTTTTTGGTGCTATTTAATTATGATTCCACACTGTTGAATTGGTGAATGTCAACTAGTCTCAACTTGAACCGACCATTTTTGTCTTCCCTGACGGTATGTTGGTTGTCTAACTGATTGAATAAACTAATGTTTATTCTTTCTCTAGCCATATGGAAGGCAGTAGGATTTAAGAAAACGCCTAGTATACACTGCTCTAAAATATTCCTAAGAATTTTTCTGGACTAAAAGTTAAAAAAGTTATATAACCGGATTCGTTTAAAAGGTGGAAATTAAAATCCGCATATTAGCTGTAAATATAATACACCAAAATCAGTCTGGAGAAAAGTTGGGGAGATGTTTCTCTTTATTTTTTCCGATGTTTCTTTTTTTTTTTATTTTCGATTACAGCTTGATTGCACACCGTGTTTTTTTGGTACAGGTGTGGAATTTTCAGCATGTGATATCGGTACCTGAAAATTTTGCAGACCGACCATAGATATCAGGTGTAAGTCGGCAGGGGTTCGAACTCTGGACCATGTGCATGGTTGCCAAGAGTCCTAACCACTGTGCCACCGATGCACAAAGAAAAAGAAGACAAAACAAAACAGAAAGTGATAGTGATAATATGATTCTAATATCTAAGCTTAACCACAATAATCAAACCAATATAGTAACTGTAAATGATACAAATAATCTAGGCTAATGTGTTCATCTCAATTCGTAACATTTCACCTGATAAAATCCATCATGCACAACAGAGAAATAAGTCATGAACACTGGTAGACAAAACTCCTTAAAATAAACAAGTATAGTCAAATTATCCATTCTAAAATTATAATACAATAACAAATATACCAGTTTGTTTATTTATTTTATATATAAGTAAATATTAATAAAGTCAAGTAAGTATACAGTGTTTATGATTGGTGTTTGTTTATTTTTGTGGTATTATGAATGTTAATTAGGTAGAAATCTGCGAAGCTTACACATATATCATACAAGACGCTTAATTCTCAATCATTCCAAATAATATTCAACTTCTCTTTTGGCCATTCAAATGACAAAGTCATGTTAAGAGATTGCTACCTCGTAGTCGGTATACTGATATACTTATAATAGGACTGAATTTTGAATATCGTTTTGTAATTGATAGATGTTCATGTGCATTGATATAAATACGCATCCTCAAACCTAACAGTAACGTTTTGCTTCGTTTCGCATTCACTTTGACCAGAATATGTATTATTATTATTGTTCCCTTGGGTTCCTAGTGGAACATAGGGCTTCAACTGCACGTCTGTCTCCACTTGCCACTTCTGTCTTCCTTCTGCTGTACTTTCCACCTGCATCCCTGTTAGTCTATACTGTTTCAACTCCTCTTCACACGATCACCTCCATATCACTCTTGCACTGACGTCCCACTCGCCTCTTCCCTTTCGGTCTGGTTCCACTCGAGCAATGGTCTGACGCGCGCGATGTAACCCAGTGGCCTCCTCAGTGAGCGAGTGTCCAATCCATCTCCACTTTCTCCTGCATATTTGTTAGTTGACAATTGGTGCTTGTTTTGTTACTTTCCATAGTTTCTTTCTGGCCCAGCCATCTGATCTTCAGTATAGAGCCAGCGAAGACAGTTGTTGTTGATAAAGATCTGCAACAGGCTGTTGGAAATATTCTTTGTGACCCACCCGCCAACTTTCTGATCTGTATAGAAGAACTGACTGACTTGACGTTGTTTGTATTGAAAATCCGAGCGAATTTTGTTGTTGATGCTGGCTGAGTGACGAAGATTTCCAGATTGGTTTCACGTTGATGAATGTGTTCCTCGCCTTCCCGATTCTCACTCGATTTGACATCCTCGTCCGTTCCGACTGCCTGTAGTTGAGACAATGCTCAATGCTAGATAAGTGAATGAAGTAACCTCTTTCAAATCCCTCCCGTTGATGTTGATTGGCGTTGGATGTTGCTGCTGTTGTTGTTGTTGTTGTTGTTAATGGTTGGTTATTTTCATCACCTCCGTCTTGTCTATGTTCACTTGGAGTCCTGTCTTCGCCGGCTGCTTCTTCGACCAGCTTGTCGGTCGGTTTTCGCTTGTAAGTCTTCTCTATTTTGTGTGACATCAAACATAAATCATCCACGCGCGAAATCCAGGTCTTCTAGGTTCTTCACGTCGGTCCAGGATATCCCTGTCTTCTCGTTTCCCACTGTCTGACGCATAATGACCATAATATCAAGTCGTCTAATATTCAGGAATAGTTCTAAAAGCTTTTTTTCATATATGTAAGCATTGTTTGTATAAATCTCAACGAGACTGAAATCAATAATTACCGACGTTTCTCTTGACAGATTGATCCGGACTTCGGAGAATGATCATAATTAAGATACCAAATATATATATATATATATATATATATATATATATAAAGGATTCATTTTCATATTAAAATCCTTTTCCAGTCATGAACAGTCATCAAAACAGCGAACAAATTGCATGTAGTATGATCAGCATTTAACCAAGTAGCTTCACAATACTACTGTTGGTCTATTTTTTAGAACAGGATTGTTGATTTCAATCTCCTCGAGATTCATACAAATTTAATTTCTACAAATGTCTGCTTCCCGATATGTACCTGACTATTATAGGACCATTCGCTCAAGTCTTCATCAGAATTCATTTGGACTGTCCTATCGAAACTTCCCTTCTAAGTGAGATTTGACGGACTATGTAATGCGTATAAATAGATATGCGTTGGTGGCGCAGCGGTAGAATGCTCGCCAACCACCTGTATGTGGTCGTTGGTTCGATCCCCAACCGACTACGCACTCCTTTACCTCGCTATGCTAGTAGGGGAAAGTTTGAACATGAGGCCAGCAACCCCATCTCGTAAAAATAAACATCACTGCTAACGAAACCTTCAGTCTGTAGCTTGAAAGCGCCCTGTGTTCCACTGGGAACGTAAAGGATTAAAAAATAAATAAATAAATAGAATGTCATCACTTGTACTTATTTGTAACCTAACGGTTATATATACACACCCTTTAGCTTACAAATCACTCACAAGATAGAATGAAATAACAACATGAATAAACCCTTGTGCAAAATAGAAGCCTTTTGTCTACAGAAGCTGCGAATCAAATCAGCAGCTTTCATCACAGAGTATAATAGTAATTAATAGTAATACTAATAGCTGTGCATCAATAAAATATGGTACTGAAATTAATTGGGTCAGTAAGGGTAAATCACATGATTTATAAAATAATTTAGCTTGTAAACACGTGCATAGAGAGTTTTTAAGTAGTCGTTATTATTACTATTATCATTATTATTATCACTATTGTCATAGTAATAATAGCGAAGCGTAGAAGAAGAATGCCAACACAGTTGTACAGAGTGTTTATATAATGCTAGTCTTACCTATATTTATAATCGTGAAAATGGAGTTAAACATAACGAAAAATGCAACTGGTTAATTCAAACGAGAGAGAGAGAGAGAGAAAGAAAAAAAGAAGATACTTACTCATTGCCAATGTTGGACCAGTAGAAGTAGTCTTTGCATTGTCATTCACCGAAGATTCACTCGTTTTTGGCTTAAGTGAATAATAAAAAAAGATTTTTTTAAAAAAAAAAGAACATTTAGCTAATAAGTGAATAATATCAACAATAATTGTATACAAACTAAGGGGTACATAATTTTCATTCAGAAAACGATTTCACTGGATGTATTCAGCTGCAAACAGGTGTCTGAAAGGTTTCCTTTCAAAAGTACAAATAAACTCATCATTCACATCATTGGCCCCATTTCTGTTTAATTTCACTATAGATGTACTAATGGACTTTAATTCTAACTGACTTTAACGAGCCAGGGATTGACTTAGAATATGCAGATGTGATATAGTCTTCCCACCTGGATGAAAATACTGACAAAATGCGAAGTCTTCTGAACACACCTTGAGGAGCAGCAATCTTTGAATGTTTGGCATGCAATTGACTTCCGTCAAATGTAAGATGATGCTAAGGACTGGGCTGGACTGGACTAGGCTACACTGACTCACTCCTAGCTTAAAGATAGGGAGTGAAGTGATTGGCAGATGGTGTTGACCACTTCACCTATTTGAGAAGTTGCATCAGCCAACGTCAGCTGGTTGATCGCTGACGAAATCTCATCACGGATACAGAGGGCTAGTTTCGCATAAGCCAGTTTACGCCGTCTCTGGTGTAGACGTGATATACGGATATTGACCAAAGAGCGAGTGTACTGCTCGGAAGTCCATTCTGTCCTCTTTTATGGCTGTGAGACGTGGCCATTGAAGGTGTAAGACACGAAAAACCTGGCTACCTGTATTTGATCATAGGTGTCTGCGTTCTATCTCCCCTGACTAACTGACTGACTGGTTTAAACATAGAACACTGCACAGATATGCAGCAATTCGAGTTGCCATACTCCCTCCATGTAGCACACAAAGCAAGAGAAGAGATTAAAGGGAGACATAATAAACACAAGTGTGAGAGAAAAAGAATAGTAATATGGAAGAGTTATTGGATTTAATTGGACACTTTAAATCTCAAGAAGTGGATGCATCTGCGCCAGTCATTAAGAACGATTTCGAGCCATATCACCAATTGTCTCCAGTCTTCACTGGTTCTCACCAACCAGAGGAGGACCCAAACCAGACATCAGTCTACATATCCCTACGTGACCGGCTTAAACTAATTGTTATGAATTTCATTGACTGATGAAGCCATGTTTCAGTCTGACCACCACTGGCTCTTTTCCAACCTGATCCACCTATGTCAGCTGCCATTGCCTGTTGTTGAGGAAGGCGATGGCTAGGCTAGGCATACGAAATACACGTCTTAACCATCTCGAACGGTGTAACTTCACAACTTTGTCGATTGATTTCTATTCCTTGCCTACCACTCAACCGATGCCTAACCTCAATATCACTCATTCTATTATAACACCTAATAGGGGAGATAGAACGCAGACACCTATGATCAAAGACAGCCAGTCTTTTCAAAATGTTCGTTGAATGAAACACAGGAGTCGCTGGGACTGTATTACTAAAGCAGACCTGAACCTCACTGCTTCATACAACAGTTTTTGCCTATTAATTCAAAACTGACAGTAGTGCATCTAGGCATTGTTTTAGGGTCAGTACATGATTTTACTCTAAATTTTCTAATTATCTTGACTCTTTTTTGTCAAAATTCTGACTTGTGCCTCTATTACTATTATTAATAGTAGTATTAGTATTTACTTTTCTTATATATATATATATATATATATATATATATTCTTATGATGCATTCACATTTAGAAAGTAAAAAACTTGAACTAACAGGTGTGGCGTGAGTTATGCATACCTTCTGCTTATCTAACTTCATTTCTTGTTATATAACTTCATTATTATATTATTATTTCCTTTAATTCCTAGAGAAACATAGGGCTTCAGCCACGAGTCTCCATTTCGTTCGATTCTCTGCCAGCGTTTTCACCTGGCTCCAAGTCTGTCCACATGCTTTCATCTCCTCTTCACATGACCTCCTCCAAGTCACCCTCGCACTGACGACCAACTCGCCGCTTCCCTTTCGGGTTCCACTGGAGCGATGGCTTGTCTAGTGATGTCACTTGATGGTTTCCTCAGAGTATGGCCAATCCATCTCCATTTCTTCCTGCTTATTTGTTTCACAATCGGTTCCTGCTGGGTTGGTTCGTTCATTGCCAGAGATCCCTGCCTGTTGCTGATCATTTCTGACCATCTAATCTTGAGTATTGAGCGAAGTCAGCTAGCTGTTAATGAAGGTGTGTAGTTTGTTTGAGATGCTCTTTATGACGCGCCAAGTCTCTGATCCATATAGTAGCACTGAATGTCTTTACATTGGAGTTGAAAATCCGGATCTTATTATTGATGCTGAGTGCTGTTGACCTCCACACAGTCTAAAGAGTAATGAAAGCTTGTCTTGCTTTTCCGATCCTCGCTGCTTTGATATCCTCGTCAGTTCCGTTCGCCTGTAGTTGAAACGATGCTTCCCAGATAGGTGGGTAGGTAAAAGAGGTTTTTTCTTTCAGGTTCCTCCTATTTATGCTAACTGATTGTTGTCTGTTGTTGTTGCTGTTGCTGTTGGCCAGGAATCTTCACCACCTCTGTTTTCTTTATGTTTACCTGAAGTCCTTGCTATCTTTGATGCTTCTTCTGCCAACTTTTTGTTTTTCACTTGGATATCTTCCAATTTGTGGGAAATCAGACATACATCATCATCGGCGAAGTCCAGATCCTCCAAGTTCGTTTTTTGTGTGAGTTCATTTTATGCCTGTTTTGTTATATAACTTTGAAATAAAGTGAAATTAAAATTTACTGAGTAGTAGCATTCATACAACACAATTGATTTACAGCGACAGCAACTATCTAGAAAGGCATATGGATTATTATAATCCAACCTAACTCTAACCGATGAAAAAAATCATCAAAAATGTATATAAACATCAAATAAAGCCAATTGTGTTGACGAGAAAAACAAAATCCTCAAGACATGAGTACAACAGGCAACATGACTATCCGAGAATAATAGTCTTACTTCATCGGTTGGAACCATTTGACATTCAACAATATTACGCATAAGACTAAAAATAACCAATATTCCACACAAAATTCCATAATATTTGGGACCTAATGTTTCCATATTCTGTAAGAAAAAAAAACAAAACAAAAGAAGGGAAACAATTCATTATTTCAAATATGGTAGTAGTGTGTGGGTTCCAACGGGATATTATTCTCACAGTAAGAAACATTGTATATGTTGGTGTTAACGTCGAAATATTATTCCCACAATTCAATAAGACATTAACAACAGAATACTCGATATATGTATTTGAACATTCTAGATCATGTCGTTTAATGTAAACCAAAATCACAAACTAAGTGACTGGTTAAAGAATATAAACTGTATAGATATAAATAGCTGTTTGATGACTTCAAAATATACTTTGACTTCTGTGTCTTGCCTTCTGCTGTTTCACAAATACTGATATTACATGATAATATGATTATAATAAATCATTACTGTCAAGATATAAAATAAAAGAGAATAAGAAAACGTTTTCAGGTATGTATTTGAGTAGCGCTAATAAAATTTAGTTTTAGCAAAGACACCAGTAGGGTACAGCAGGTTGAAGTTGAGGCAGTAACTCATCGAAGAAGACATTGCGAAGTGGTCGCGCTATGTTGTGAATTGGCAGAAATTAGAATTCAAGGACCATTGGATCGGGTCCCAGTGGCTCAATGGTCTACAAGCTCGCCTTGTAACCAGAAGGTCCTGGGTTCGAACCCCGGTGGGTGCGTCTTCTTCTTTCTTTCTTTACTTCGGCTATCTCCTACGGGAGGATGAGCCGGCTTCATGAACATCTCGAATCATCGCTGCCCAGGCGCGGCGATCTGATGCAAGGTTTAGCGACAGGGTTATCCAATTCTTGTTCCACAGACGGAGTCCGTAGACGGTTTGTAGCCCCAGGCACTCCATATCAGCCTTGACTGTACCAAGCCATGTTTTCAGCGAGTTCATGAAGTTTCATGGGAATTAGGTACGAGTGATGTCCCCAGCATCGTCCTGCCTTTTGTTTGGGAGTGCAGCTCTAGCCTTTACACAACCAAGTGTGAACTACAAGGCAGTAGGAGTGGAGTAGGGAGTCCATTATCCATTGGCAGCAGGTGACCGGAGTCCGATTCATACGCCTTTTTGAATGGGGCCAGACATTCAGGGCATCCAATAAGCCCTTTGTCCCTAGGTCTGCCTGTGACCTCCGGTGAGCTACATACGCCAGTCGTTGGAGGTTTGGAATCAGGGTTTAGCCATCTCCCCTAGACTGTCATCCAATGGACAGTCAACCCGTTGAAGAGCGCCGGGCATCCGCTTTTCCCCTCTCACTTCGGTGAAAAACACCTCCGCCACGTGAAGGCAGTGAGTAGGACTTCCTCAGGAGAGGCTATGTAAGACGCCCGGTCATATGGGAGCATTTCAAGAAGTGTACGGAGGGGTGGCCAACCCGCAGCGCAAGGCACCCACCCCCGACCATCCTGAGGCTTTGGGTGCGTACTGCTGATGAGTCCCAAACTAGGACTAAACAGCTGTCCAGTACTCCCAGGTTTTCCAGTGGTCCTCTAACTGATGTCAGCTCATGATGAAATCCTCCATGCAATCAAACAAAATCCCCACAAAACAAATACTTGAAAACATAATAAATTGTAGAACATTTAATTGAATTTGAGATTTTCCAATCGATTGATTGGACCGAGGTGCTCAGTCTCAGGTTGATATACCGGCTTCTTTTGCAGATGCTTCGACGATGTCTTGGCATTTAATTAGTATTTAATTGGTGGATGGTGAGTAGCAGTGGAATCCAGGATGCGCATTTCTTCCTATTTGGGACTCGTGGTCTAGTGGATAACGCCTTGGCGTTTGGAACTATGGGCACTGGGTTCGAGCCTCGGTGGGAACATCATCACTCACTGAGAAATGCAGGTACATCCTGATGACGAGTCCCAAACAGGACGAAATGCGCATCCTGAATTCTACTGCCAGTCACCATCCATCAATTAAATTGTAGAATAGCCTATACTTATAAATGACATACAGACTATGAAGACAGCTGTTGTTATTAGATGGTTGGAGGCAATCGGCCACAGGAAGCCCTACAACTAGGTTTCCTGCTAGTTGGCACTCACCAGTCAACAAGGCGTATCTGCAACTGCCATGAAGGAACTCATATGACTTCTGAAATTCGAACCAAACACTTGTTACTTTTTTCTAATCAAAATATTCAATACAGCCCTACAGGAGGTTAATCGCGAGTCTGAATAGCTCAGTGGCTGGTAATATCTCTGACTGCAGACCCACTGGGTGACGCGGACTCAAATGTCAGAAGGGACATGAGTTCCTTCAAGGTAATTGCAGATACGCCTTGCTGACTGGTGAGTGACAACTAGCACGAAACCTAGTTGGATGGCTTCCTGTGGCCGATTGACTCCAAGCATCTAATATCAACAATTCGAGCCGCACCGTGATAGTAACCTACGTAGAATGGTAGCCACTGTGCAAACCTGACTGATCAAATTCAATTTGTAGTAAACAAAGTACTAGACACATCACACTAGTTAGTGATTAGTGTCCAATGAAAGTACACAACTGTTGTATATTACTAAAAGTTTCTACACACTTTAACTTGTCACCTTAAACCCTATGAAACAATCATCTTAAGATGTTCCTTCATCTTACCTTGGGTTTATTTCAACTCTATTTCTGCTTTAATTCTTTGAATTTTAAAGAAGATAAGCTGATGGTTTAAGTGTGAAAAGATATTTCTCCGGCTTCTGAAGCAAAAAAAATAGCCCGTTTTTGTCATCTTTTTCAACTAGTTTTTCAGAATATTGAATAAAGCATTTTAGTGGAAGCAAACCTGGTAGGACCCATACGTGTGTCACATATTTAAAAACGGATAGAAAATTCTATAGTTTGGTTTGCAAGGCTTAGTTATGTTTTTACGAGTTGATCACGGATTGATATCAGTTAGAGAACCAATGAATCGGGTCCCAGTGGCTGAATCGTATACGAGCCAACTTGCCTTGTAACCGGAAAGTCCTGGGTTCGAACCCTGGCAGCGGGTGCGTACTGCCGATGATTCCCAAACTAGAATGAAACAGCAGCAGTCCAGTACTCCAGTGCTGGTTTTCAATGGTTCTCTAACTGATATCAATCCGTGATCAACTCGTAGAAAACTCTAATTTTGCATAATTTAAATACACTACAACACAGCTTCTCTTAAATGCTAGCTTTGTCGTACAAAAGTTGTGCAGAAAAATATCTCTGTGTTCTTTTGGAATGTACATGAGCACCAGTCATAAATCATAAGTAAAGAGAAATCAGCTGACAATGTTTTACCCTTCACAAATATACGTCAGATGGAATGAACCTCCTCAAGAAGTCTCACGGGCTATAGTTACTAATGATCACATCCAGGTAAGTGTGCAGATATGTCTTAGTAACACATCAAAGAAGTAGACATTTAGCGTCAGGTATCATTTGTAACTGGATAGTCACGATATGTATTGAAACACAACACTTTTTGTTACGACAGCTAAATTTCCGTGACAGAGGAGAAGAATTCGTTGTTTGATACTGTTTGTAAGAAAAAAGTTAACGCAGTACGTGGAGTTTAAGCTACACTACTTCATTAGCATAATTATTACAGGCTTATTCAATGACACAAGTTTAATAAACGTGTAAATACACTTTTTTGTAAAGTAGTTCAAATTTGATAATAAGAAGAAATTGGAAGGTTACTATAAGTTGTTTGGATAGGAAACCGAATCAACGACCAAAGACACAATGAATGTACAGTAGATCTAAGTCAGTTAGCAAGGTTTAATATTTACGCTGAGTGTTGGTAATTGCGTCAATACAGAACATCGTAACTTTGCTAAACCGTATTGTCAGTACAACATTTCCTATTTTCCGTAATCAATGAGTGAGCATCAATTGGCTAAATGCAAATTGGCTATCTTTTTACCTAATACGAAAGCATTTTTAAAGTCATATACAATTAAGGGAAATAATTCAGACCAGAAGGCTCTGGGATCTAGATTCTCCCTTTCCTTATTCGAATACGTCAAGATCACTTTCCAACTACTACAACTAATAGTCCGGCGAAAAAAAATTTCTAGTTATTAAACCATCCATCTTTCGTAGAAAAGTTAACACTAGAAAAGGGAACAGTATGAAAACAGTTTCGGAAGAAAAAACACAAAACCTAGTTCAACATAAATCGTCAGGTAGATTACTCTCAACTACTTCAGAAGAGAACTACGAAAAGAAATATTAGGCAACAATCGTCAAATTGAGTCACATCTGAAAATGAAATCAGAAGTCATATAAAAACTTTAAAAATAGGAACGCTTGTTTTATAATAATACTTTAAATATGTACAAAGATATTACGCGGACAAACAGTGTTCTGATTTTATGAAAATTTTATTGCAGAACTCATTCAAGAAGACAAGTGCATAACTTTACATTTTAACGAGTGTTTTCTAACTACTCCAGGAAGATGATCCTGATACCAGTCACCGAGGAGCCTATATTATCAGAATGCCAAAATCTCAACAATGTCTACAATTGTGTAGTCTGAGAGTCAATTGGCCCCTAGTATTTATAAAGGACGCGCGCAGTATGGAGAATATCAGGAAGTTATTTCGCGTGAATCGCCTCTTTCTGTTGTCTACAAACCTGCTAAATGCTCTCATAATGTAGGTGCTAGATTGAAATATTAGAAGAAACACTTTCCGCTCCCACTATAATCATATTTATCTATTTAATTCTTCAAATAAACCCACAACATTATTTCGAAAAGAGTTTAAGTGTCATGTCTTAAGAATAGCCGACTAGTGATACAATTGCGTAAAGCACAAGCTATATTTTTTTCCTTCACGTTCCCAGTGGAACATAGGGCTTCAGGCTAGTGGCTGGGATTGCTAGGCTTATGCCTTATGCCCAACCTTTCCTCTTTACCAGCATTATTTCTGGCTTAGCGAGGTTAAGGAGTGGGTCGTCGGCCGGGGATCAAACCCTAGACTATGGTCGGCGAGCGTCCTAACGGCTATTCCACCGACGCACAAGCTATATGCCAAACTAGTA